TAAAAGTATCTGTATATATATAGTTTAATTATTTTGAGTCAAAACGAGACGAACAAGAGCAAACAATATTTTTTATTCATATTCAACTTAACAAGATTACACAAATTGTTCGCTAACAACGAGTCATTTTGACAATCCTAATATGTTGTCTTCACAATCTAAGACGGTGTTTGACTACATTAGAGATTTACGTTAAATATAATTTAGCACATCCGAATTTATCAAATCCATTTTAAAGAAGAAAAACTTCGAAGTCACGGATTGTAAATCCGCCTGCGAATCAAATTTAAGAATTTATCAAATCCATTTTAACGAAGAAAAGCTTCGAAGTCACTGTTTGTAAATCCGCCTGCAATTCAAATTTAATAATTCTAGATTTATGTGACCAAGAAGACAAAATGTGAGGAAAATCAGTCATAGCCAAGAAAAAGTGGCTGGTCTAACAAAGGCTTATAATTAAGATTCAGTATTTTTTATTTTTCATTTTTTTTTTAATGTTTGGCTTGATTTTGCTAAATCGGCATGCTACCAAACACCCCTAAAGGTAATATTTATTCCCAAATGAAAGGGGCCGTGTAGTATTCTTCCGACGCTTGAGCAGAGAAAGGATCGCGGCTTTTGCCCCTTCACCTTAATCTGGTGATCCGCGAGTGAACATTTTGTAGATCGCCCAGTTTTTAGCTGGAGTCTGGTGAGTTTTGATCGCTCTCATCGGCTATCATGCTCCCAAATATGGCCTTGTCTTCTTTTTTTAATCTTATTTGTTGCTGCTCTTGATCGATAAAGTTGTCTTCCTGTTTTTTTAACGTCAATGGTTCTTATGGGTAATTTGGGTGAATTAATAGCGTTTTAATTTGCATCGGTTCTGATCGGTTTTCTCGCTCAACATATTCTGTAGATTTTTGGGATAAGCATTCATTTTTCGATTTCTTCGTCCATTAATTGCCTGTCTTAAGTGCTCCTCGGTGTTTCGGTTATGTTTCTCTATTGAATTTGATAGTTCTTGCGAAGGAAATCTTGTTCAGTACGCTCGATCAGGTCTGTCTTTTAAGCATGTTTTCAAATTTTATTTTTTTAACTGTGTTTATGGAGTTTTAATCCTTTTTTTTGTTTTGATAAATCTTTTTTCTATTTGGTTTGTCTCTAGTATTGTTTTTTAGCTCTGATATATTTTGATTTCTTTTCTTCTTTAGATCAGGTCTACGTCACTTGTTCCTAACATTCTCTTTTTTATCTATGACATTTTTTGGCTATCAGTGTTTCTGGTGGATCTACAAGTAGCAATTTGGCAGCGCATTATAAATTTTCTAGATATAAACTAGTAGTATCAAAATATCTGTCATAGGAATGGCAACAATGGTTACCCGGGGAAGCAGTCCATTGGCATCTTCTATCTCTTTGCGAGAGAAGGGTAACAGAAACAAAAGGAAGTTCAGAGCAGATCCACCTTTAACTGACTCAAATATTCTAAATCCCCTTCCTCATGCTGATTGCATCAATTATGACTTTTTTCACATGGAGAGAGTTTCTGAGAATCCCAATTTGGAGCAACATACCAGTTTCTGTGATGTATGCAGGACCCTCTCTTGTGGTTCAAAGGAGGAGCTAGGTTTGGAGGCACCCCATGAAGTGGACTGGAGCAACCAGGCAGTGAACCAACTTGAGGAGGTTATCCTTAGCAATTTAAATGAAGTGTTCAATGGAGCTATTAAAGCCATAGTCTCTTATGGGTATACTGAGGAGGTTGCGACCAATGCTGTATTAAGCTATGGGATATGCTATAGATGCAAGTATACAGTTTCTGATATTGTGGATAATGCCTTGTCACTTTTGAGAAGCGGTAGGGAAGTAGACTCATCAGCTAGAGAGAATGTTGCCGGGGATCTACAAAGGCTGGCCAGGAGTGTGTTGGCTGACATGGTTAATGTGCTTAGGGCTGTTAGACCGTTTTTCAGTGTAGGGGATGCAATGTGGTGCTTGCTGATCTGTGACTTGAATATTTCCCATGCCTGTGCTGTTGAGTGTGATGTTTTGAGCACTACATGTTATGATGAGAAATCAAGTATTTCTAGTGTCTCCCATCCAGAGCCAGAGGTGAACTCAATCAGTTCTAATTCTCAAACTATGCCTGAGCTTGAGGTATCAGTTAGCAGGAAGATGTATCATATATGTGGTTCTAAGAGGGAACCAATCCCACGAGAGAAGTCATTCACCTTTGAGGATTGCCGTGCTAATAGGCCAAAAGCCGCGCTAAGGACAAGCAAGAATGGTGGTGTAGGTGGACTCCTTATGAATGAGAAATTCAAATCAGTATCAGATTCTTCTGGCGCAAGCATTAAGTGCACTTCCAGGAAGTCAAGCAAAGCAGGAGGATCAGATTCATCACAAATGGATGAATCTTTAGGTCTTTCTTTGAGTGACGCGTCCTCCAATGGTCCTTCTGCAAGCATAAAAGAAACTAGTAAGCTGGCACCTTTAACAGCTGCAAACACAGACCTGTCTTTGTCATTGCTACCTTCCTCTAGTAGTAGTACTGGTTATGGCATCAAAGCAAATACACACAGCAACTGTGCAGGAATGGAATCTGATAAAATAAATGGCAATTGGATCCCTCATGACATGAAGGATGAGCTGCTTCTCAAATTAATCCCACGTGCACGAGAATTGGAGGCCCATAAGCAAGAGTGGACAGAGTGGGCACAGCAGAAGATTATGCAGGCTACCCATAGGTTGAGCAAAGAAAAGCCTGAGCTCCAAACTTTGAGGCAGGAAAAGGAAGAGATTGCCCGCCTGAAGAAAGAGAAACAAACCTTAGAAGAGACCACCAAGAAGAAGCTTTTAGAGATGGAGAATGCCTTGTCTAGAGCTAGCAACCAGATAGAAGAGGCAAATGTAACTGCACGAAGGCTTGATATTGAGAATTTGGAACTGAGGAAGGAGATGGAAGCTGCAAAATTGCGGGCAGAAGAATCGGCAGCAAGTTGTCAAGAAGTCTCTAAGAGAGAGGTGAAAATTCTTAAGAAATTTCAGTCATGGGATAGAGAAAGATCATTGTTGCATGAGGAGCTCATTAGTGAGAAGCAGAAGTTGTTGCAGCTACAACAACAACTCAAGTTTACCAAAGAGCATCATGATCTCATGGAGGTAATGTTTATGCAATGCTGTTTTAAACCCACTTTCTTTCTTCATTGATTTAAAATTATTGGGCTAGCTTATGTTACATCTTAATATGTTTTTTGCATGCCTTAGGGAACCTTCATCACCTCCCACAAATTCAATCAGTTTGGTGTACTTTTCTAGACGTGTTGTGAGAATAGGCCATCTTTTATATTTATTTTTCAATTAGTGTTCACTAAATATCTCTTTGCTTCTATGAGAAATAGTTTTGGTTTGTAGGTTCATTCTTAATTGTCTTTTATGACTTTTTTTATACTTCAACACATGCATATAAATTGTCAAATTATAAAAGAAGGATCAAATGTTGAAAATTGTCAAATTGTATGGTAACTACTCTAACATCAATAGATGTTGTAGAATGAAATGAATAAAAATCTTTAGAGTAAGTTCATTGTTATGTTTATCTTGGGTGCTTATGTTTCCATTTTTTTGTTGAAGCATGATGGTTTTTCTTGCGAAAGAAGTATGCAAAAATTTATCTTGTGGAAGCTTCACTCAGAAGAAAATTCTATGAACCACATAATAGCTAAGAAAGAAATCAATCATCATAAAAAGACGACGACAAATTTATGCAATTCAGCTTATTCATATCATACATTCACGGGATAAGAGAGAAGATTTATTCCACTAACAAAAAGTCATAATAGTAGTATACAATAAAATGTTACTCATCACTGAGCACACTTTTTCTCATTCAACAAATAAAAGAGAAGCTTTATCTCTCTCAAGATATGTGAGAGAATTTGTAAGAGATATAACAAAGAAGGATGGTTAAATAAATATTAGAAATATTACCCACTATAGAAATTCCTTAAAATGTACTATTAGTTAGTTGAGATGATACTTCAAACCATTGGAAACACAATTATATTTTCCTTATCTTTCTATTTCTTTTCCCTCATTTGTCTCTTACTCAATTTCTTCTCATCTCCTTTATAAAAAGAATTAAAGATTGTCTGATGCTTCCATTCCAATTTAGGTTCCATACATTAATTTATATAATGACCAACCCAGTATGAAGCGATTAGATATTGATTCAATTCCTAAACAAATCTGTTCATTTACTCAATCATGACAAAACATATAGCACCTTTTTGACTCCTTTCTATATTGAGCACATTAAGCTCCCAAATCCTGAAATTTCTTTTTATAGTATTATTTTAGTGGTCTTAAATGTCAATTCAGTTAATTTTTGTGAGAGACCTGTGTATCACGAATGTTACATTATGATGTGGCACCACTAAACTTGATTTTACATCATTTTTGAATTTTCATTCCTTGAAGCCATTCATCTTCTCTCCTTGAATGCTGTAAAGGTACCACCTGGCATAAGGATAGACTGTGTGATACAAAGCTTATCCTTCCGATTATTTTAAAAGTTCCCTCTTCAACTTATTCTTCTATTTATTTCATAAAATTTATAGCACCTCTACAACATTAGGCTAGGTCTGACCATCACTTTTTGCATTTAGGTCGGCCAAAGTACCCACATAGACTTTAATTTCCTTGCCCTCACCATAGAAATTATGTCTTATGACCTCTAATTTCAGTTAAGGATGTTAAATTCTTTATTTGACATGATATATGCCTTACTCTAATGAACGAAACAGTCATGCTATCATATTCTCTTGATTTTATAGTGCCATTACCTCCAACCTTGCACATTTATCACATAAATGGCTATCAGCACTTGGTTCATGCTTAAAATTTATCTTTAATATTGAATACGTTTGACTTGAACAAGTTGAGTTCAAATTCCTCTGCTCTTTGCATCCATCTCAAACAATTACTAAAAGGGCATCACTAATATCGAAATCATACCAATTTCAACTTACAACTACATTTTCATATGCTAACTTCTCGTGTTGGCCATTTGCATGCTACTCCTTCCTCTCCAAATGCATGGAAATCCCCTTTTGTGTATCATTTTTTCTTGTAGTAAAAGCAATATATTCGAAATTGCTACGAGACTTGTTCCTGCTATAATTTGAAGGAGACCCATGCTCCTAGGGTCTTAACTTGACTTGCAATAAACCCTTATATAATCTCTTTGGAGCTTAACGACCATTGATGATATATAAGCTAATTTTACTCTCCCATATAGCACAATGTCGTAAAAGTATCTGTAAGAAAAAGATCAACTGTATGATAACAATAAAATTTAGATCATCGTTATTAACAAGAACAATGTCACCAATATTTATGAAATCTCGAATAATTGAATTAAACTAATTCACATATGATTTAATATGTGTACCATCCTCCTGCAAATCAACTAGAATCACTACTTTTAAAATTGGAGACGTTTTTAGCCATGTATAAAGACTCCAACTTGGGTCACAAACTTTGTATGGCTATTTTTCCCCGACCTCTGCCATAATCTTACTTTCCAAACACAATTGAATGACCAAGAGTCTTTTTATTCTGTGTCTTGTTTGTTTCACTCATAATTTTTGATATCTTGGTACACGTAAATGCTACTATAAGTTTATGTTGGGCTAGAACATCACGCAATTTAGTTCTCCAAAGCTTACTGTTTTTTGAGTCGTTGAACTCTCCATCTTGAATTTTATGGTCCTTATATTTTTTTGTAAATCTTTGCTTTGATACTAGTCATTAGTCAAAGAGGGGGTTAAAGTTTATGCTATTGAAGTGTTAAATCATGAGAAAGTACTATCAATCATAAATTGATTGCAAAAAAATCAAACATCATAAAAGGAAATGCCAAAATTTATGTGGTTTGGCTTAAGTAATAAAATAGTCACATTTATGATATATAGTGAACGGACACTAGTCATCTTTCTAACACTTGTTTACACTTGCTCTCAATAAAGAATAGAGAAGCCTCTGGTTCCTTAAGGTATGTATGAGACTAATTCCTTTGGAAAGATAAAATAGAAAGAAGATTAAATAAATCCAATAAGATTATTAGTTTCATAAGTTCCTAAAACAAGTACCTTTGGTTCATTGAGATGAGAATATTAACTCTTAGAATTGAACTTCTTGGTTTTTTTTTCTCTTTTTCGCTTTCTCTTTCTTTTCTCCTTTTCTCTTTTCTTTAGTCCTAAACTCCTTCACAAAAATTAGGTTATCTTATCTTTTCGTACACCACCTTAAATAGCCATTGATCTAATACAAGGTACCTAACTAATAGAAAATCACCATTATTCATTTCCAAGATTTTACACAAGAAGTTTGATGCCTAGCTCAACATGTGTTTCATGTATGGATATTATGTTATTGTCTATTAAGTTTTGTTTCTATAACATTTGCATTTTGATATTTGATCTTTAGTTTGTTTAACTTTTTTTTTCTAAAACTACGTGGTTAGTGAAGGGAAGTGCCATTAATTTAACTAAACTCTTCCATTGATTCAATTGGATCCTATTTTGTCTGAGTCACAATCGAAGTTTGCTTACTCGAAAGAAAAAGTGAAGGGCAAGAAAGAAAGAGAAATGTAAGTTGGGAAAACAAATCCACTTGAAAAGGCTCAAGAAGCTACCATGATAGGACCAAGAAGATTCAAATCTTGGCCTCTGTTCAGGATTCACTATTTATACACCGTGATATGAGATATGCTACATAGTTAGCAATACATTTAGAAAAAGTACAAAAACATATAGAAGCTTTATAACCTATTTAGGTGTTCCAACAGTGCAGGCTAAGTGGCCTCATGGTTATAGATGATCTGTTTAGTGTTGGTTCATTGAGTCTGTTGCAATTGGATATGAAGCCTTGATGGATGTTTGTCTTTGGCATGTGTGGATTCACCTCACTACTGGAAACTTAATGCTTTAAACTCGGTTGGGTGAATCTTCCTCGGTCTTGACTGGCAAATTATTCTCAGTTGAGTCTGTATCCTTGTCATCCTTTTGAATGGGCCTACCCATTGAGGTGTACATTTAGTTTTATGATTTGATTGTATCTTCGTAAGGCAACTGAGAAAGCAACGAGAACGAGAAAAATCACTATCACTCTGAAATAAGTCTTATACCTTGCTTGTCCTTCTTGAACTAGTTTAATTTTTTGTGTTGACTTTATTATATTAACGAAATTTATCAGATTTATTAGAGTAATGATTGACATTTAGAATTTCTCAAAAAAATAGTAGCTAGTTTAAGAAAAAAGTAAATGTGAAATTTTATTCTTAGGTTTGACTTGTCGTCGCTTTGTCAATGTCAGTGTGTACTGATTTACTAGAAATTACCTCACTCCTCATGTGGAGTGGATTTCATGCAATGATCATCCTTCTTCTTTGTTTTTGTTTGAGTCTTACAATTTGGTAAAATGGAACCTGATGACTTTGATGCCACTAATGAGGCAATTATGATGGCATTATCAAAAGGAAGTTGGCTCGCGCTAAGAAGAAAAGGAAGCCCGTTGCTATTGGCCTTTCCAAAACAAAGAAAATAATGACAGTTATCCCTTTGGACAAGCATACACACCTAGCTTGGCTTTAATAGAAAAAAGCTGTCGCGGTGTTTGAGTTAGCGAGTTAGATGAAATTAAGTTCTTTTTCTTTTCTAGATGTTATTCTAATGGTGCACTTCTTTATCACAAGGTGATTCAATGGGCAAGCTTTCTTGATAGCGGAAATTCCTCGTGACCAAGTGTCGATTCTTGAGAAAACCGTTATACAGGGTATGTTTTAGAGTATATTATTATGTCTTTTTTATTTGAATCTAATTAACTGTCATATAAAATATTGGTTTGTGAGCAATTGTTTAGGAGGGACTAAGGCCAAGTAGAGGTTGGCTCCTTCGCTATTGTTGCTTTGGCGAGTACCTCATTAAGTTCCTAGGGGAGCTAGTTGTCCAATTTTGTTGATTGAAGGAGCGGCCTTAGCTCTCAGATACCTCTTAGGGGACTAGAGAATATCACCACCAATTTGTTCCTGTGCATAATGCACAATCTTCAAACTATTCTGCAACCGGTGAGGTGCTACCTAAAGATTTAGCTAGTATGTC